AGAGATACATACAAATTTTAACACGCTTTATCCCCGATCTACGTCAATTTTGTCGTACACGTAATTTGGCATTTCAAGATCAAGTTTTTCAGCAGGATGGGGCAACTTGCCATAGTGCTGTCGCAGTTCGTCAATTTCTTCAGTGATATTTTCCAAACAAATTAATTTCACGATTTACTGACTTCCCCTATCCTGCACATTCTCCAGATATAACATCTCCAGGCGCATACATTTGGGGCATGGTTAAAACTGCCGTTTTAAATGGGCACCACAAATCATCCATGAGTTAAAGGAAGCCCTTAGAAAAGGAGAAAAAATCAAAATCTTTATTAAAAAATACATTTTTTTGTGTATTCTAGTATTTTTTTGTATCTTTTTTAGTTGTAGCGATATTTTGTAATGTCTACTTAAATAGTGTGTTCACTTTAAACTAGGATTTCTTTAAAACTAAACCATCTAAACGAGTTAAACTTCCCGAATGTAATGTTTGTATAGAAATGAGATAAATTTTAAATCAATAATTATTAAATTAAACCAGAGTGGTTTTGGCGGGGTTGAGTTTGTAACTTTCTGCGTCACAAAAAATATAAGCAAATTTTATTTTTGTTACACTGTCGTCTTAGTAGGAGTAGACCTCTTAAATTGACTACTCTTCTGTACGCTCTGCATAGGGGCTTCATGTATAGTGTACAAAGTACCCCTAAGCACTTATCCAGTGTAGATTAGGAAGTGTATTTAAAATTCGGACAAGTCTTGAGAAAGCCACAATTGTAGATGAAACAAAGACTAGCTACGAGTCTAAGATGTAGTAGAACTGGGACAGAGCCCCGACCGGAGACCCCCTAGAGCGTACGATGCTCTAGGTGAGTAGACTGATCCTGACTTGTCGTATTGTCTCGATGAACTTTCTTTAAGGTTGAAAATTCTCTCGTTTGTGTTTTGCTGTCCTGCTTTAGATTTTTCACCTATTCAGTATTTGGTTTGTTTTTCTTTGTTGGGTTGGCTTTTTAGTTATATTGTTGAGCTAAAACTGTCCTTTTCCGAATTTTATTAGTAAAAATATAGGTAAAGAAATAAAAATAAGACTTACTCACAATCAATTTAATTTAACAATCTGACGACCGGTTTCGCTTTCTACAATTTGCAAAGCATCTTCAGGTCGAGATACAAAGTTAAACTAATGCTGCAATAAAATAAACCCAATTAGGGTGATGTCTCATAAAGATAAAATAAACAAATAAGTTAGTTCATACAAATTATAGTAATTATGCCAATATTACATGTCTGTGGTTTTCAAAATGAATAATTTGAATATATAAAAGGTATTAACAGACAAGGTAAGACCCACAATTGGTATAAAGTAGCAATCTTATATTGTAATAAATTAATAAATGAGCAAATAAATAAAACAAAACAAACATTACTTACATGCCGGTACTCTATTAATTGATGGATGGTAGGTCATGGTTGCAAAAATCATGTATTGTTGATTGGAGAACTTTAATGTGCTATTGCAGTTGTTTTGACAATAAACGGGAAGTTCTTGAGGAGAACAGATTTGATCCAATGAATTAGAGATAGGTATATTGTGGTTGTTTGTCAGATGAAAGTGATGTTCTTTACTATTGTATTATTTAAATTATTTACACTTATATCAGAGATATATTTTTGGAATGTGTGTTATTTATTGAGTATTTATGTAATGAAGGAGACAGTTTTATGACAATGAATAAGAGTAGCTGTACCGATTGTGTGGTTGTGCAATTATTTTGACTTGTAATTATCAAGTCTATTGGCAAAATTAATAAATTATTGTAAAGTCAACTATGTAAAAGGTATATAAAAAGTATATAAAATTATTATAAATTAAGACGATCAGGGACAAATTAAACACACATTAACAGGAACAGAAACACAAAATGACGGGACAAACATTGAATTTAAAACTTAAACTTGGGGGATGGAAGAAACTGTAAGCACTACATCTCACTGTTGGAAGAAATGAGTTTTTTTCATATTTAATCTATTAGATTTAAGAGGTAAATTTGACATATGTAGGTTGAAGTGTGACAGTTCTTCTTCTATTACTAAATACTGTAAGTTTAGTTATTCAGTATTATGGAGTATGTTGATATTAATGAATGTATCAAAATTTGTTTTAATTTAGAAATCAAAAGTAAATTGATGTGTTTAATATTGGCATACTTTAACAATTTTAATTAATACGTTTCAAATTCAAAAAAATTTTTAAGGTAACAATGTGAATAATTGAAATACATCATCTGTTATAACTAACCAATTTTAGTCTAAATATTTCAGAACAAATTAAAATGATTATTTAGTAAATACAAACAAGTGTACTTGTAATTGAAAGGTATAACAAATTTACAAATTGCCTGAAAATTTTTTATTTGAAATAATTGTCGGTCTGAGCTATCTATTATGGTGTATGAACATTTCTTAAAATTTAATTTAAAATTGTAAATTACAATTTAAATTAATAATATTTTAAGAAATGTTCATACACCATAATAGATAGCTCAGACCGACAATTATTTCAAATAAAAAAATTTTCAGGCAATTTGTAAATTTGTTATACCTTTCAATTACAAGTACACTTGTTTGTTTTTACTAAATAATCATTTTAATTTGTTCTGAAATATTTAGACTAAAATTGGTTAGTTATAACAGATGATGTATTTCAATTATTCACATTGTTACCTTAAAAAATTTTTTGAATTTGAAACGTATTAATTAAAATTGTTAAAGTATGCCAATATTAAACACATCAATTTACTTTTGATTTCTAAATTAAAACAAATTTTGATACATTCATTAATATCAACATACTCCATAATACTGAATAACTAAACTTACAGTATTTAGTAATAGAAGAAGAACTGTCACACTTCAACCTACATATGTCAAATTTACCTCTTAAATCTAATAGATTAAATATGAAAAAAACTCATTTCTTCCAACAGTGAGATGTAGTGCTTACAGTTTCTTCCATCCCCCAAGTTTAAGTTTTAAATTCAATGTTTGTCCCGTCATTTAGTGTTTCTGTTCCTGTTAATGTGTGTTTAATTTGTCCCTGATCGTCTTAATTTATAATAATTTTATATACTTTTTATATACCTTTTACATAGTTGACTTTACAATAATTATTAATTTTGCCAATAGACTTGATAATTACAAGTCAAAATAATTGCACAACCACACAATCGGTACAGCTACTCTTATTCATTGTCATAAAACTGTCTCCTTCATTACATAAATACTCAATAAATAACACACATTCCAAAAATATATCTCTGATATAAGTGTAAATAATTTAAATAATACAATAGTAAAGAACATCACTTTCATCTGACAAACAACCACAATATACCTATCTCTAATTCATTGGATCAAATCTGTTCTCCTCAAGAACTTCCCGTTTATTGTCAAAACAACTGCAATAGCACATTAAAGTTCTCCAATCAACAATACATGATTTTTGCAACCATGACCTACCATCCATCAATTAATAGAGTACCGGCATGTAAGTAATGTTTGTTTTGTTTTATTTATTTGCTCATTTATTAATTTATTACAATATAAGATTGCTACTTTATACCAATTGTGGGTCTTACCTTGTCTGTTAATACCTTTTATATATTCAAATTATTCATTTTGAAAACCACAGACATGTAATATTGGCATAATTACTATAATTTGTATGAACTAACTTATTTGTTTATTTTATCTTTATGAGACATCACCCTAATTGGGTTTATTTTATTGCAGCATTAGTTTAACTTTGTATCTCGACCTGAAGATGCTTTGCAAATTGTAGAAAGCGAAACCGGTCGTCAGATTGTTAAATTAAATTGATTGTGAGTAAGTCTTATTATTATTTCTTTACCTATTTGATATGGACTCACACAAGCAACACATTCATGATTTTAGTAAAAATATGTTTATAAATTGACTGAATATACTATAATTAGTAAATGTATTTGTGACTCGCGTGAGAGTAGCTGTGGCTATATCCTCTGCAATAGACAGGTATCATTGTGCAATGGGTTGGGAAACTACAGAAAACCGATCCCTTCCTGCCAAGTGAGCATTTATTGGTTGTTACGGCGGTAAAAAGAGAGAAGTTGCTGGCAAGGGCCAGTAATTTAGTGGGTAAGAAAGGGAGTTTGGGTTTGGGTAAGCTTTTCAATACATTGCCGATGGATGAGCAGTTAGTTTGCAAGATATTTTGGGCTCTGAAGTTTTGGCCATGGATGTTTCGATTGTGTAACTCCTGTTTATAGAGGAGAGCCCTCATTAATGTACTGGATGTTCGTTGATGAATAAGCTCGGAGGGGTAGTCGCGTCGTTTGTTGTTTACTCTACGCAGGATTCCGCATTCCAATCCTAGCAGTCTTTGTGTGAGGTGACTTCAGATCGAAATATTCAGCTTCTTCGGTTGAACGCTGTCCTATCGTCCAAAAAGGTAATGGCAACCATTTTCTGAGATACTCAACCTGTGATCTACATGGACTACGTAGAGAAGGGCCAAGCGGTCTCAGGGCTCTAGCAATTGACGCCTAATTGCAAAAAAGACCTCATTTAGCAAAGAAAAAGTGCTCTTCCACTACGACAATACACTGGTAAAATAGGCCTACGACCTGGTGCTCCAGGCATGGTATTCTCCAGATTTGGCCCCGTGTGACGTCTTCTTGTTAAGTTTCCAAAGTTTCCAAACTTGAAAAAGCCACTAGTTGGGCAGAAATTTAAGCCGATTGGAGTCATTTCCGCCAAGAAGGTCTACTTGGCAGACCCTAAGACAGGTATTTTTCAGACGGGTTAAAGAAGTTGGAGAATCGCTGAATCAAGTGTATTAAGCTAACCAGAAACTATGTTGAGAACTAAATAACTACTTTTTCAAAAATTTTATTTTTCTTTATTGTATTTTGCAGTATTTAGAAAGGATATTTATATTAATGTATTTCTCTTTATTTTTTCAGAACGGTTCTTCTGACATGAACACAAGACGTCCCTCCCTTAAATCAAAAACAGGTGGACCGCTGGATACCAAAAACTCCAAAAACCAATCCCAGAAACCAAAAGACATAGAAGAACAATCTGCAGTAAAAATCCAAGCTGGCGTACGAGGATTTTTAGTAAGACGAAGACAGAAGAAAGACGATAGCCAGCACGCATGATACGAAGTATCCTACATCAACTAAACATATTCCCGAAGAAAAATTACCTTAGGCCATTTTGGTAGAGACAATAAACACAAGTTGCTCCACAGTTTAAAAAGAAAAAAACTATATTTGTATTAATAATTGTTGTAACTGTTGTACATAAGAAGTAGAGGTGTGTCCTTTTTTAGGTATTTATGGTAGAAATATTACATGAAAAAATATACTACTTCATAGGTCTGTAACAAACATTTTAGACAATAAATGAAGTCAAATTTGCTCAATAAACCAACAAATATTAAAATTTATCAGACAAAAGCTAATAAACTAAACAATAAAATCGGAAATATGTACATAAAATTGATTAAAGTGATTATACCCTGTTTATTATAAATAGATGGAAATTAATTTTGTAAGTATAATTCACAAACATAAACTTACAAATTTTAATATGTTATAATTGTAGGGGAGTTCATTTTATGCGGATAATACTTCCATGCATGAATGTCAGTTGTACATAAGTTGAAATATATTTGTCTAGATACTTCCAGATAATGCCGTAGACAGCAAAAAATAGAAATAACAATTTTCATTATTATCTGCTTGCATGCATTCTTTTTAAATCAGGAGATTTTAGGTTACGAGTAGATTGTTGGCTTCAGATTGTATATCCATTAGATGTCTTCTCAAAAAATTAAATAATTTCTAAAATATCTACCCCACTAAACCACCGAGGCTGACAAGAATATTTTTGAGCACAGTATGTATCCTCGACATGACATAATTAATGATATTACCTTTTGTTTCACATAAAAACTTGGTTAAAATGCAACAGAACGAAACTGTGTTGTGTGGTGAAAGGCAATGAATGCTAAATATACCTATAATATGGAAGAAAAATAAATGCTCTCTATAATAAGTTTATTAAAGCTTCTATTTATAATAAACACGGTTTACGTACTACATTTGGTAAGTACGTATTCGTACGTAAACATAAATTTGTATTTTCTAATAACTTCATGCTAAAATAGAATTGAGCTTAGATTTGTCAAAATATTTTTAAATGGCCTAATTCCTCGTATTTCTATGGGCGGTAAAATATTGGTTTTACACGAAAAAAGATCTTGATTATATAAATTTTATGAATAATTATTAAATATTGGTTATATAGAATAGAGCTCATTCAAACTGAAGGGGGTTACATTTTTTTTAATGTAAAACATAATTTTTTAGATATGATATTTTTGTTTCTATAATATCTATAAAATAAATATGAAATAGCAAAGATAGTTATAACTATAAATGTTGGATAATAAAACAGAAACAAGACAAATAATCTTTGTAAAAATAGCTCGAAACAGCAATAAAAAAATTTGGCGATAAATAAAGGGTTACAGAAAATCCAAAGGAGCAGAAATTGGAAAAAAAAAAGACAACAAAACATAAACTAAGAAGTAAGAGGTGATACATAAAACTAACTGAAATATTCATTTAAATTTTTTGACGGAGACAAAATGTGAAATTAATATTATAAGAGCGAAAAAAAGTAAAAAACGTTACTAAAATTTAGTTCTCATGACTATTTATTTGGTTATCATTGTACAAGAGATTTTATTTTTTTTTTTTTTGGCTTTGGCTTGAAACCTTTAGCCACGTAATTAAGCACAAAACTTAACGTACTAAAAATAAAGCATTGAAAAATTCAGATACTACCTGCATGCTACCTTCAATTACAAAATATCGATCCCGATATTTAAGTTAGAATACAAATTAAATAATCCAAAGTTTAGTATATAATTTGGACTTTGTAATTGGAAATACAAGATACTAAATTGTTAAAACGTAATATGCATTGTTTTGTTGTATGGCGTAGAAACTTGTTTTGAGCGCAACAGAATATATATGTATGTGAACTAATCTAACAAACGAAATCACCCAAAACTACCATGAGTCGAGTACACCAGATTCTGCTGTATGTAGATGGACAAACGCAATAAAAATTAAAATAATTACAAAACCCCAAATATATTGCTACAGAACAAGATTTTATAATTTTATATTACCTAAAATCATAAAACTCTGTGAACTTTAATACCTATTAAACAATTTTGTATCCATCTTCAGTTTGAGTGACTAAGTAGCAACAATTTTTAGTTCGTTCACAAAAATTTAGCCCGTGATACTCTAGCCGTAGGTTTTAATGTATTGTAAAGTATTATCAGATTTTAGGGTAGTTACACGAAATGTACTTTTTGTAGTAAAAAATATTTTATATTATAGAATTTTCACGAAAATATAGAATTACGGATTGTATTGGTAGCTCTAAATTATTTAAGTTGTTAACAAGAGCCCAGTGTGTTAGTACGAGAATGAAACAGTATTTGGAAGTCAATTTTTTTAGTAAAGAATTCGTATTTAGATAAATTTAGATTGATCAGTTTGTTGAAGGTTTTGGAATGGTATTAACATTGTGAATTTTTAAAATTTGGTACACAAATATAACTGAAAAAATATTTTTTTATTCTTAAACTCCTTTAAAGCTTTTCTACCCTGTCCTAGATACTGCAGCAAAATAGTTAATTGTTTATTTCAACCAGAACTTTGATGATTCGGAAAAAAACTAATCCATGTGCTTAATAATTATTACCTGATATCCAATTGGAACACTAAACCTAAGAATCGCACATATAATGATGGTGATGTTGGATGCATCACTAAGAAATTGATGTAAAAAACGAATAAAATATGAATAAAAGTAAATACCAGGATCTTAAAAGATAAACTTAAATTTATGTCATTACATAAAACCAAAATAAAATAGAAGAAAGCGGGGAATAAAGGCAAACTGTCAATACAATAGTAAAGAATAGGTGGGAATAAGGTATAACCAGATATACACCCGTAGATCAACTGATAACATGCATTAGATGATACTGTAGATGATACTGTAGTAGAACGGATAGGAACCAGAAGAAGAGAAGAAGTAGATTTTTTATTGAATATAACCCACACATATAGACACACATAGACTAACACTAACACTTATTTACCACAGTGGTTGATGGGCACCTTACACACTGCTGCACTAACTGGCTCATTATACAGTCAGATTTATGCTGCGACTATTGAGGTCCCTAATATTAATGTGTTCATCACACATCACGGTTCTAAACAGATTTATTACCAGTACCGATCATAGAATGGTACGAGGTAAAATAAGAAAAGCTTAAAAAATGGGAGGAATGACGTGATTAAGAAAAAGAGCAAATCAAAACCATGGATAAAACTATCAGATGTAGATAGTTTTCAACAATGTATTTCCTACATACTTAGTAGTCCTGAAACAAAAAATAATATAAAATAATAAATTAACAAATACCTTACTAGAAAGTCAAAGCAAATTTTGTTCTAGAACTCAAAAAGAAGAGATTAGCCAAAATACCAGGCAACTAATGCAGAAAAGAAGAGAAATGAGAAGCGAGACGGAAACTAAAGCCGACGAACTATAAAAATTAAATAAAGAAATAGCCAATGCTTTTAGACAAGACACTCGAAAATACAACCAAGAACAAATCTAACATATTACTGAGAACAATAGAAGTATGAAAGTATTGAGAAAAAGATTAAAAACGGGAACAAGGCAGATAATAAAAATTAAATATAGAAATGGTCATCTTACAACCAACCGAGAGGAAACCCTTGAAATAGTTGAAGACTTCTACAAATTGCTGTGCACAAGCCAACACCAAGCAAATAGCAGAGATCAAGTATGGGAAATATTAACATAAAAAAGGCCATTGTTAACCAAGGATAAGAACTACTACCAGAAATACACAATAGACGAAATAAAACTAGCCCTAACAAAAGCTAAGAATAACAAATTTCCAGTAGAAGATTGTGTAGTAACGGATTCGATTAAAATCGGAGACACTTGCCTACTTTTTTTTGGACTAGGTGTCAATCAGCCAGTTACAATATGACTACTATCTTAAACATAAAAATTTTATGACCGTAAGGTCCATAAAATATCAATAACGAAGAACTTAATAATATGCTTTAAGAGTTAAAATTAAAATAGGATAAAAGTTAAATATATGCATCTTTTCAACATCATCAAGTTCAAAAAATGGTATACATAATATTATTCAAAATACAATTTTTTTTGTATTATCTCCCTTTTATCTACATTTACATATAAACAAGATGATGAGGTTCGATAAAAAACCTTTTTAACATGTGTCTTTTGGACAGTAATATACCCGACAAATGGCATAATTGTCAAAATGGGAAACTACAACCCACTAAAACAAACTTAGTTCTTGAAACAGCTTCAGGCCACACTATTCTAATTAAGGGAAAGATAACGGCAACCATAAAGATTGATAACACCTTGATAAAACACATTTTCCTTGTAGCCAATATTAAAGACGAATGCGTTCTTTGGATGGATATTATGCAGAACAAATTTATCATAGATCTTCAAAATAAAATTTTGTTAATTGAAAATGAAGAAATTGTCCTAAATTTGGAAGAATCGGTACCTCAAGTAAGAGTTATAGTGAGCGAGGACACCGAAATTCCTCAAAATTCTGAAAGTATCATCCTGGCTGAGTCAAAAACCTGAAGGTCTACATTTCGGCGTTGTGGAAAGCGATGAACTAGTTAGTGATGGAATTTTGATAGCCAGATGCCTCATTAATGTAGATGAGATGATTCCAGTAAGGATTGCTAATTTGTCTAAAAAGCCTTTTAAATTGAAGAAAGAACAACAAATAGCATTCTGTACACCAATAGAAAAAATAAGCAAGTGCGAAAAATATTTAAAAAAGAATACAGCTTCCAGTAACCCAGTTGAAGCTAGCCTAGTGAAACAACTAATCAAAAATGTTGACCACTTCAACAATAAAGAATTAAACAAAATTAACGATTTTATTATTAAAATCTACGATATTTTTGGATCCTAGAAATCTACAGGGCGTACTAGTTTAGTTCAACATAGAATTTATACTGGAGATGCAAGACCAATTCGTCAAGCGCCATGGAGATTGCCATTTGCTAGACAAAAAGAAGTTGAAAACATAATACAAGACATGATAAATTCTGATATTATCAAAGAAGCTTCGGGCCCCTGGTGTTCACCAGTAGTCTTAGTAACTAAGAAAGATGGATCTACTAGCTTTTGTGTAGACTACAGAAGATTAAACCAGGTTACACAAAAAGACACTTATCCGTTTTCACGAATAGATGATACACTAAACACTTTATCAGGTGCTAAATGGTTTTCTACCCTAGATTTAAAAAGTGGCTACTGGCAAGTAGGAGTACATCCTGATGATCAAGACAAAACAGTTTTTTCAACTGGCCGTGGTCTATACAAGTTTCAGGTTCTACCATTTGGTCCGTGTAATGCTCCAGCTACGTTTTGAACGTCTAATAGAGATATTTTTAAGCGGACTTACCTGGTAAAACGTATCTAGGATATCTTGATGAATTAATGATTATGTCCAAAACGTTAGATGAACATCTGAAAAACTTAAGCGAGGTATTTGACAAATTGAGAAATGCCAATTTAAAGTTAAATTATAAGAAATGTTCACTATTTCAAAGAGAGGCATACTATTTAGGACATATTGTTTCAGTAGAAGGAATTCAAAACTGATCCAGAGAAGAATTCAGTTATTAAAGATTGGCCTAAACCAGGAAATAAAAAGAAAATTAGAAGTTTTCTTGGACTTTGTTCATATTACCGAAAATTTATTAAAGATTTTGGCTGCATAGCTAAGCCCCTTTATCGACTAACCGAAAACAACATTGAATTTGACTGGGACACCGGATTGTCAAAATGCTCTCATAGATTTAAAACGACTTACAACAGCACCAATTCTAGCACATCCACGAGAAGATGGCAAATTTCTGTTGGATTGTGACGCATCTCAGCATGGTATTGGCGCAGTATTATCACAAGAACAGGAAGGCGAAGAAAAAGTTATTGCATATTTTAGTAAAACAATGGAAAAGGCTGAAAAGAATTATTGTGTTACCAGAAAAGAGCTCCTAGCTATAATATATAGAACATTTTCATACTTTTCTTTATAACAGAAATTTTACAGTTAGAACTGACCATAGCGCTGTACAGTGGTTAATGAATTTTAAGAAGACAGAGCGACAAGTGGCTCGGTGGATAGAGAGACTCCAACAGTATAACTTTGACGTAGTACATAGAAAATGGGTGTCTTCATAACAATGCCGATATTCTTTTCTAGGCGACCCTGTTTGAAAAGACAATGCCAGTACTGTAAAAGACTTGAAAATAAAGAGAACATAACCGAAGAAGTAAGTCTCCAGGTAACCACAGTTATACAGGAAGAAGATAAGGATCAGACTTCCCTGGAAAAACTTAAAAAGAGTCAAAAGAAAGATAAAGACCTAAAAGTCATACGAGAATGGCTTAAAAATGAACTTTTCCTATGTGGGATAAATCTTTCGTAACAATATGTACAATGCTATATGAACTTCAGTTAGTGTGTGCCAGTGTGTCTTAAAATAAACATCCAAAAAATAAAATTCATGCAAACCTAGTACCTAGCGGAAAGATCAATATTTGAGACAACGAAATAGAGCTGGTGGAAAAATACATATACCTAACTTAAATAAGAAATAAAGATCACAAGAGACAACCAAACATGTGAATTACGAAGAAGAATAAACCATCATGGACAGCCCATGGAAAACTTAGACATTTTTAATAGAGATATACCAATTTCTTTAAAACGTAAAACAATTGACCAATGTGTGTTGCCTGTGATGACCTATGGTGCTGAAAGGTTGACATTGACAGCTACAACTTCCAAAACGCTGCAAATAGCTCAAATGAAAATGGAAAGGTTAATGCTGAGTTTATCGCTTCGTGACAAAGTTAGAAATGAAGAATTAAGATGAAGAACAGGAGTTACCGATGTAATTTATCGAATTGCCACACTGAAATGGAACCGGTAAAACCGAAAGGGTAAAAGATTCGAAGCAACGTGATTTACACGGCCGGAAAAAAACGTGGTTGACTGTTTGTAGGTCACAATGTTATTACTTAATCCACGTAAGTCCATATGATTTAAAAAAAAACACCATTATCGCCCATTTAAACTATGTTCGAATCATAAAATTGCGACTCACCGATTTGGATCTAAGACTAATCTCCATTAGCATAATGCAAGTTATGATGCACGATCGTCCTGACCATTTAAATATAAATTTGTAAAGTGGTAAACCTTGTTTTCATAATCATAGGATCGTAAATCGCCATAAACTGCCATTATTGATTAGTGGAAAATCCGCACTAATATAGGGAACCTCTCTTTCAAACTAGATGGGGTATTAATGTTTTAGGACAATTAGCTACCTTTGTTACTGCAACAAGATGGCGCAATCCTATATAACTTAATATTATATTTCCAAATAGAAGCATTGGCACTAGCGGATCATTTCGACGGTCTATAAGATCCTGTGTTGTTATCCT